AAAACCCCCAAGCCAGATTCTGCCACAAGTAGCACCTGCACCCATTTTTTTTTAAATGTACACAGTTTTTTGGTTTGGGGGTTTTTTTTTGGGGGGGGGGGTTGTTTTTTAGTATTTCAGAACCATAAAAATATTGCCATAAAAGTGTCCTATTTTGGAACTATAAATACTTTTTGCATTAGCACCCAAACTCCAGATTAGGATTGGGACCATTTTGTTGCTTGTTACTTTATACTTTGGACATAGCACCTTGCCCCATGGAGATAAAAAATAATGACAACAAAAACAAAAAGGGATGAAGAAATGGACACTTGTATAGGGGAGGCAACATGCAAGAAAGTGCAAAGATGAACAAGAGAATGCAAAAAGCTACAGGGAGAAAGGGATGGGCTGACTGATGAAAAAAAGTTGCAAGCAGCATAAATTGGGAATCAAAAAAGTTTCAAATTGATATGGAAGGTAAGTGAAGGTAAGTGAAGGGATATAAAAAGATATGGTCAAGGCAGCAAGAAAAATGACACTGAAACAGCATTGTGGCTAAAGACTTGAGGGCTGCATTAGCAGGTAAGTGCTCATTTCTAGAAAAGTTGCACTTGAACTAGTGGCACTTGAACTCCAAATTAGGCTTACATTTAGTATACACTAGTCTCTCCCTAATGCAGATAATGTAGCATAGTTTTACTTTTTATACAAGTTTTCACACTGTCCTTCCCAACAAAGGCTCAGGGCAGCTTAGAGTAAGAAAAACAAAACTTAAAATGGCAGCCAGCATAAACAAAACAAAGTAGCAAAATAAAACAAAATAAAGCTGAAATCCATTAAACAATGTTTTGTCTTAGCTTTTGTTGCTAAACAGAAAGGTCATGGTTGATAGATTAATCTCTGTTGAACAGAATGGCTTAAGATATTTCCTCTAGCAACTCTAAATCCATAATGGTAGGTGCCAGAGAGGTAATGGACTTCCAGTTCAGTGCTTCCCCACTAACATCTACTTCTGACACGGGAGACCGGATACTGGACTAGATGGACCTTTAGCCTGACCTACTATGGGACTTCTTAATGTCTTGCAGGGCATCCAAAAGATGTCCAGGCCCAGGCTCTGGCCAGCCTCAAGAGGAAGGGAAGTTCCAGAGCTAAGAATGACCTCCTATATACTTTCACCAAGTGAACTTACTTAGTGCGCTGATGGTACTTGTAAGAGGTTGTTCTCAACTGACCTTATGGATTGCACTGGGGTTTAAGACAGATGGCGGTTCCTCATACTTCCTAATTCCAGATGAGAACACCGATTTGTCATACACAGAGAACATTAACAGAAAGGCCACAGCATTAACACAAATAAAAAATGAAGACTCTACCTTTGTCTGGTTCAACAGTGTCCAACAAGCTCCCCCTTACACACACAAGGAACGGCTCAACCTCCAGAGACTACAAAGTCTTCTAAGCCTATGCATATCCCACAAGGACAGGGGTAGGCAACCCTTTCTGGCAGCAAGTGGGAATGATGCACCCAGTGAGAGGCTGGCAGGTGTTAGAACCCACCGTTTGTCTCCACAATGCCATACGGAGAGTATCAGCAGCCAACCCCCGCAACCCTACCCTACCCCAACCAATACCCAATATCCCCAGGCCAGATCCAATACACCTACAGACTGGAGCCAGCCTGTGTGCTGTAGGTAGCCAACCCCTACCAAAGGATACATCTGTGACCCGAGTACAGACACATGAAAACTATTTCTGAGAATGGCTCATACTTCCCCTCCTCCCCCACAACTCCTCTAATAAAGGACATCGTAAGTGAAAAAGAAAATAGTGACAATTTAGGGCAGAAAGTGTTGTCTGCAAAACTAGTCTCCTTTACCTGAAAGCCACAAGACCCGTAGCAGGATTTACAGACTGCTTTTCAGCTAGAGCAGGAAGGTGGCAGTGTGAACCTGTAAAAACAATCCTGTCATTCTTCTGCTTAGGCAAACGGACACAAGTCATCACAAATTGCATCTTTGTTTTTTCAAATCTTGATCCTATTCAACAGAAAACATCAGCCAGATTTCTTTCCTCTGGCGCAATCCTTCCTCATTCAAATAAGGAGAGTGTAACCAAAGAACCATTCCTTCAGCAAGTATATGAAAAATAGAAGTCTTTATAAAGGAGGCCTGCACTGAAACAGCATATGACCAAAAAGAAACAATTTTAGAGGTGCATGAGAGAGAAAGGTAACAAGGAAAGCAACATAAGAATTTCACTTAAAAAAAAAAATAGCAAGATTAGAGTCTACAAATACAAATACATAGGGAGCATTTCTAATTAGTGAACAGGAGTGTATTTTTTCAAAACCTACTGACAACCTGCATTAAAGTGTTCGTAAGGCATTTTGTGCATATATTCATGATCTACATCAACACTATGTTTCGCTATTGGGAAAAAAAATAGCTCTTACGACTGCAAAGAAAACTTTCCAAACATGAGCCAATAATAAAGGGATGCATTTGCCCAAGCCTGCAGTTCATACCTTATTGTTTTAGCTTATCTGCCTCATTCATAGTGGTTTAAATCAAGACATAGGAGATGACTTTTTAGACATAAATGCTAATTTGCTATTAAAAGTTACAATATGCAACAAATATTTATTTTCAGGTCTTGAAACTGGTATCACACTTCACATTTTAATTTTTTATTTGAACATTTAAGATAATTACAGTTGGAAGGTTCATGTTCCCAGTGACATCTCCCAGTAGCTGCCACCAAAACAAAACATTCAAACATTGCACATGGTTAACAACATTACATTGTAGTTACCAAAATTACATTTAACTTTTTGTACAATTTTTTGTTTACATATTACAGAGAAAGTCTATTGGGACATCTTTTTAACAGCAGAAATCAGCTTGATTATGGTTTAATGTTAATAAAAATGAAAATTGAGGTCTGTACTGAAGGACAGTACTGTACATGAGAGGTATTAATTTAGCGCGCAACACAATCTCTATGATGTACTTTGCAAACCTACTAGTAATGGATTTATATTCATAAAGCACATTGTAATTACTACAATTATTGATCAAATTTGGATAGCTAATATATTTTAGCCATTTAAATATCCCTTGTACATTTGCCTGTTTTAGCTAAGACGGCAATACAATGTAGCTTTTTTTAATCCCTGGAGCATTTTCATTTCATATCTATGCTTATTAATGCCTACTTTATATCATATGCAAGTGAATTTTCTTTTTCGGATGAGAAATCCTTTATAGTATTTTTCAAAAAACAGTGGACAATACCTATAATGACACTGATTAAATACCTATGTTGAAACATAATGCAAAAATGTTAATAATTGATTCTCACCAATATTTTGCATCACATATTTCAAGCTTAATTACTTAATCAGTGACAATTTACATAATGTAAAAGATGTACCCACCACTTCAGCCATTCAACAGCTATTTCCTCACATGGCAAAATCTTACTTTGAGTTCAGTCATGAAATTCACTGGTTGGCAAAGGTTTTTTGTTTTGGGGAAGCATTGTATTCCATCAACATATTGGAGAAGGAAGACCCAGATGTAAAATATACCATTACAAAAAACACTGTGGAAAAAATCTCTGGCAATTATTTGTAATGCAGGAATTTAAGTAAAACAAAACTGGAAGAAGCTATTCCAAGAGAACAATACCAATTTTACTGAGGCATAAGTAATATTAGATGAACAGCTCAGTGAAATAAAAGCCTGCTAAAAGTTTACAGGAATAAACTAAGAGAGGAGCTAATATTCTACAGTTAGAAATATTTGCTTCCGTGGATAACTCTTCCAATGAAGTATTATTGTGCCCTGACCCATAACAACCATGAAAGAACTTACTGTAGTCATCATTTGAGATACGCCGTGTCCATTAGTGCACCTATATACACACAATGAAACAGCCATCTAAAACTGTTCCAAGGTAAAAGAAGTGAAATCTGAGGTTTGAATGTGAAATTGTTTGTTTCTCCTTGGATTTTGTATAGGCTGTAAAATACTCTAGGCCGGCCAAAAAAAAAAAATAAAAGTAATCATCTACAGCTAGGATCACCTGCCTTAACACGGACAATAAAACTCCACAAAAATTCTTATCTGTGGAATTTCAGGACATGTTATTTAATTATTCCATTTGGCTCAGAGACCATTGCAAGCCACGTTTGGAGGACAATGCAGCTGAAAGACAATATTGCTACCCCAAAATAGGCCTTTTGACCCTCTTCCCACCATGAAACAGAATTTTTAAAACTCCAAACTTTGTCTCTGAAATGATAAAGAACCAAATCACCTTTATTAGTTGCATCTGAAACAACTAAATGCCAGCGAGGTTAAGTAGTAGATGTAGATACTAGACATTGTATATGTAAATATAAGCCATGTGTAAATTTGATTATAAGCCTTTTTCCTTCATGAATTAGTGGCATTGGATTATGACATTCTTCATGGCAGGAACAGTTTGCTTAGTGCCTAGCAGAATAGATCCTCTGTGCATGTTTGCAACATGATTCTTCATGACTCACAAAAGTATATCACAACATATTAACTATTGCAAAATTAAGCAAATAGCAGAAAGTTTATATAGACAAGTTGAAAAATACAGATAAATGAGTATTAAATGAAAAAGTTACAGCAGAATCAGTAGTTGTACATTCAGTGATATACAGTCCTGAAACTACAGGTTTCAAGAAATTGCTTTATCTTCTTCCTTACAGAATTTGGAGGCAGGTAAAGAAATCCAGGATACCACCAGTGTAGGTTTCTTCAATGTACTGTTATACTTTGATCTTCCGCCTCACTTTTATGGTCTTTAGTATGACTAGGAATGTCCATTAAATTACCATACTCCTGAGAGATTCTTATGTGCTTTCCCTTCTTTCCATGTCCATTTATCTGTCAAAAGTCCCTTCAGTTCTATCTACACTAGTTTGCCTCCTATTGAGAAGTCTCACCTCACCTGACCCATTTCAGATCAGACTACTGATAGCCAAATTAAGTTCATTAAGGTTCACTTGTGTTCTACCATGTCACTGCAAGCACTACATCCTTTGCAAAATATTAATATTGTGCATGGGTTAGCCATGTAAATGCAATCAAACCAACTTTGATTTAACTAGGTAATACGGACAGGGAAAAACTGTTTTAACCCTACACATACCCTGGCAGGAGCATTTTTAATCCAGTCAACTAAAATGTATTACAATTCAGCTTTAATAAAATGTGCTCAAACAGGATTGTTAAACTTGAGTACAATCCTTTAAAAAATTCATATAAAGCATTCTTGTCTTAGAGTAACTAGCACCTAGGCAAATAGTGTACGTTCTAGAATTATTTTAGTGTAATGCAAAACTTAAAAGGGTGAAATAAGCAAGGTAACTAGTTTGTTCCCCCCCCCCCCAAAAAAAACTGATTTTTTTTAATACAATCTTATTAAAACCTATTCTGAGGTAAATACCTATTCTGAGGTATTACTTAAGATTACATATATACCATACTAACACCTCATGTCCACAAATAAAGGCTAAATATAGTACGTCAAGCAAGCTATAAAAATGGGAGAAATAATGTAGCTGGTATTCAAGTGTTACTGTACAGAAATTGTATATGCATGTAGTACAATACTTCATGCAAGTAATGCAGAAAGTCTATATACTGGGTATATTTACATCCAAATACATAATGTGGACAATTAGCAAATACAGTATTTAAATTGTACTTTAATTAATCAATGTTTCCATTGAACCTTAATTCAGATAAATCATAACTTTTGGAGGGTGAGAGGATGAAGGACAAAGTAAAAATTATAAAGAAAACATTTTAAAGGTCTGTTCATAAAGCTTGTTCATACTAACTGTTAAACTGAACTGAGAGTAAAATGAAAGGATACTAAAAACTGTTAGTTGGCCTTATACAGCATTTTCAATTAAAAAGGCCACAAAGAGCCAAGTTTTACATGGTATCACTTGATTTTGTTTTTATTTTACACCAAGAGGTGAAAGCAACACATTTCTTTTTAATAAAGTATACACAATAGCCTCACTCAGAATACACTTTTAATGCACATAAAAAAAGTATTCATCTTACAAACTGTTTTGCAATCCAAATATACAATAGCTTGGAAAACAAATATTTTAGAAAACAAAAGCCAATGTAAAAAGACTGCTAAAAACAACTAAAACAATAAAGGTTTCTGTATGGCTCTCTCTTTACAGTTTTCTTACTGCATCATCAATATCAGAAATCTGTTCCTTCAGCTGGTTCCACTGTTCTGGATTTAAAGAAATACCTGAAATGCATTAAAAAAAATCCTTAGTGCAACAGGAAAATTAAGATTCAAGAGTCTGTGCAAATGTAACCATCTTACTATATCATCAGTATTTTCACAACTAAGATTGGCATCTAAACAAAATGCCCATTACACTCAGTACAGCTAAAACAGTCGTTCACCATAAAATCTACATTTAACTTCAAGTTAAACTAGAAGTTAATCTGCTTCTGGATGCTGTTCGGCTTCAGAGGAAAATACAAAACGAATACAGCCCCTTTACAGAAAACCTTCTAGAAGTGTAAGGAAGAGGAAGAGAAGCTATAACTATATCTAGGGACCTGACATCAGGAAGCATTAAAGCTCTGGAAGAGCTGGAGAGGCCCAAGCTGTTTCTTTCAGGTTCCTATAAGCTAAAAATTGATCTTACCCACATGTACATTCATTATGCAGAGTTTTTTAAAGCAGCATCACAAGTACTGTGGGGTAGACAGAGTCATTACAGACTTATTACCATATCCTACTCCACCCACCAGACAAGCATGACATTTAACTACACCTTCCCATGGACCAATTTTATTGCACTTTAAAGATCAAAAAAGTTGAAGGGGGGGGTGCTTTCTGTTCTTGACACCAGTTAGGTTCAAGCATACTATGATGTTGGTTTATCAAGTTTTCAGAAACAGCTGTTTCCATTTTTAAAGAATCTTAAACAACATATTAAGACTTCATATAAAATTCTGCAATTAAAATCACAGCCACTTTCAACAGTTAGCATAAGTCTTACTATGGCATCAAGTATTTTCATAGTTTCTAGGGTCGGAAGGGACCTGGGCAGATCGAGTCCCACCCCCTTCCATGGCAGGAAAGAGTACTAGGGTGGGTCAAACGACCCCAGCAAGGTATACATCTAGCCTCCTCTTAAAGACCCCCAGGGTAGGAGCCAGCACCACTTCTCTTGGAAGTTGGTTCCAGATCCTAGCCGCTCTGACCGTGAAGTCACGCCTCCTGATGTCTAGTCTGAATCTACCCTCTGCCAGCTTGTGACTTTTTCCTGGTCACTCCTGGCAGTGCACGGGGGAACAGGGACTTCCCCAGTGCCTGCTGGTCCCCTCTGACTAGTTTGTAACAGGCCGCTTGATCCCCCCTCAGCCTTCTCTTGTGGAGGCTGAATAGGTTCAGGTCCCGCAGCCTCTCCTCGTAGGGCCTGCCCTGCTGCCACCTGATCGTGCAAGTGGCCTCCTCTGGACCCCCTCCATGCTGTCCACATCCCTCCTGAAGCACGGCGCCCAGAACTGGATTCAGTACTCCAGCTGCGCCCTGACCAGTGCTGCATAGAGGGGGAGTATCACCTCCTTGGACCTGCTCAAGATGCATCTGTGGCTTATATTATATTAAATTCGGCTTATATTCTCAAACTGAGTAGACTGAATTTACTAATCATACATACCCTTATATATAATTGCACACATACTTAATACATTCATATATACATTTTATTTCATTTATTTTACTGATTGAGAGTTTGTGCGCTTCTATGCACGCTTGAAGTCTCAAACAGTTAAATACAGAAAATAGGATTAAAATAATCTCACTAGCTTGTTTAAAGCCAAAAAATATCTGACACAAAGCGCTGCTCATGAACAAATGAGTTGTACAAACATAATTTAGTTTTAAATCAAAATTCTTTTTCTTCAGAAAACTTTGCTGTAGCCTACTTTAAGAGCTGCAACAAGGTTTGAGCAGAAAATATTTTCTAAAAGCTTCTGTAATACGATGACTAAATATGACAAACTGAACTAAGAAATTTTCTAGAATGCAGCATCTTCATCTGCCACCTGGTTTTGTTCAATGACTTGGAGACAAAATATATAGTCTACTTCCTTCCCCTCCACCCTGCCTGTCTCTCTAATTAGACTGAAACTGGTCTAGATTTAGAAAACACCCTTTCAACACCTGCTAAGCAAGCTCTACTGCAAGAAAAGAATCATTGCCACTTAATTTGCATCTATGCAATTGGCCAACAGTTTTCATCAGTTCATAAGAGTTTATTTCACTGATTTCAGAGCAAACACTTAAGATTTTTTCTCTCTCAACTCTAAAAGCATACTTCAGCAGACATGTCTGAGAAGCTGTTAACAGCTTCCTCTGGCAAAACTGTATCCACCTGACTTGTATTTAAACATCAATCTTGGCAATTCCA